TTCTTTTCTACTGTTGAAAGCTTTTTCTCTGTAATGCTCTATTCCACTTCCGCCTTCAATGTATTTGCTGTATCCATCCTCTTTATTGGAATCGTTCATAGTTGATGTTTCGGCCTCTATCCATTCTTCCACAAGTACCTCTGCAATGCTACAATCTTCGTTGAGAACACTTTGTGCATTTTGCTCATCATATTCGGAATACGGCCGCTTTGTTCCACGGTTTTGGTTAGGTTGTTTGGAGTTCGGTTCAGACAAGTGCTTTGAACGGATGTGAGCATAAAAATTTTACACTTTCCATGTTCCCGTCGGCTCTGGACGAATCATAATAATGGTACCGCAAAATGGGAAAGACACCAGTGCTTTCCTACCACTATTATGGTAAGAGATGGTTATATTGGCACCGTGTATTTCCGCAAGCCAATTTTCATTCTCTGGAGTGCCGTATATGTAAATAAATTGCATCTAATTATAAGCTTCCTAAGTTAAATATTGCTAATAATACTTTTTTTTCGAAAAAATCCATAATTTTGGTTTTTACGGATTCTGTCAATTCTCCTTCTTCTTCTTTCCTTTATTTAACGTCGGTCTCTGTTCCGCAATCTAGTGCCAATCACCGACGGAAATCGATTGTCATCCATTGACGGCAATCGAATGTGCAGGAAGGCAGCTTCCACACCTGCGTAGGAGATCGCACCCATTCAAACACACATGGGTCGTTGGTCCCTTGGTCCCCGGCTTTACTTCGCTTCCGAAGGAAGACGTGACCAGAGATTGTTATGCCTCAGAAAAATCCCACCGACCTCGGCTGGGATTGAAACCAGACCCACTGGGGTGAGAAAGCAGTCACGCTTACCACTACACCACCGGCGCCGGTTGGATTCTGTCACTGCCAACGTTGATGCTTGCTGCTGTTGTTCAGGTACACTTCGTAGCATACTTCTACTGAACTTGGTTATCCCATTTCTTCTGATGGTTGCAGCAATCATCTTTAATGAACTGCACTCTCCCTTAGTGAACCTGAATTCGCTAAGATCACCGTAATAATTCAAATTCTTTTTCCACTCAACTTCGTTCCGGCCTGTGGTTGTTGGGAACAGCTGGACATCTCTTTGCATACTTTCAATCGCGTCATCGTCGAGGAAGGCCAGGCCTCCATGAATAAAATTAGTCCGTTCTAGAACTATCCTTACGTTCTTAGGAACAAGTCCAATTTCTTTTCCGATCTCCTTCCAGAAATGGTCCATTATAATAAAGTGAAATCTCTAATACAACAATTTCAATCACAGTTTTATGTATACAACAATATTAACCTTTCCTTACCGAAATGTTTACACTCGTAGCATTTTTACTTTTCTAAGATGCAAGTATATGAAGGAGGTGTGATTGATGTATATAAAATAATTTTCAATTGTTTTGGATATATCAGATTTCATCGGATTTGTTTGATTTTCTTAATTTTGAATACATACAATATATATATGTATTCAATAAAATCTACTAGAACTAACAATAATAATCAAAATCGGTGAAATCCGAGAAAATGGAACGGATGAGAGTCGTTCCACTCGCCCTCATCACTCTTTTGAGGGTTCCCATATTCACCACTAGAGGCTGAAACAATCGCTTAGTTTCTATTGTCGGCAAGATATCCTGAACATCTCTTTTTATCCTTCTGTCTATTCTGATCTATTCTTTCCATCCCGCTCACATGCCATAGCAGCGCTGTCAAGTCTTTTTTGAAATAAAATGGATCTAAATGAGTGTCGTCCCCTAACAAGTAGCCCAACGAGATAACTCCCAACGAGCGAATGATGACTTTACCCACAATACACTGCACAAAGGGCCATGAATTCAATCTAGTAGGACAAAATTTATAGCTCCGAAACGAAGCATTTCCGTGACTTGGTGTTTTCAGCACAGTTGCTCACAATAATTAGGACCAGTAATTGAAAACAACAGATAGTTTGATACTCAACCGGATAGATGGCACCAAAATCCAACTTTTTATTCTGAAGTGCTGGAGACTTGACGTCTTGGACAAAATAAACAACTCTTCCATATACTTCAAAGTTCCACAGCCTACAGTTTTCGAGCAATGTGGATAACAGGAAATATTTGGTAAAAAACTGTTTTTCGTATATATTTTTATTTTTCAAATTACAACCAGGTTATTTTTCCCGATATAATTACACTAAACACAAAACTTTTACTAAGGAATAAAAAAGTTTAAAACAAACATTTTGAATAAAACTCGGAAAAACATATTTAAAATTGCAAATTTTCAAACTTGAATATCTCACATACCGCAAACAATCGCTATCTGATATTTTCAGGAAAAAGTAAACAATGCTTTGTAAACAAAATATCAAAAATTCAAAGAGATATATTTTGATTTTTTCGAGATATTTTCAAGGAGAATGACTGTATCTACGATGCAGTAAGAATGTATTTTTGTGTGGTTAGCTGCTTGCACGCTGAGTAGATAGAAAGAAGATTGATGACGATTCTGAAGATTTCCTGCAAAAAGATAATGCGCGATGCAAGTAGATGTGAGAAATGAAAGAAGGTGTTTCGTAGATTGATTTGCTAGTGTTAGATTTTTCGAGCATCTAGAATTGAGATTTAGATGTGACGCTCCCCTCGGATTTTATCATTTATTTAATCTAATCTAATCTAATCTAATCTAATCTAATCTAACACCAACACAACCAGCTCATGAAAGCATCCTGGAAAATGATAGATATACCTCCATCCTTTTGCTTGTCTATTTGGTATATTTTATACATCATATATCTACTGTACAGCATTTAAGGGGCAAGATGATTCAGAAACTACATTCTTCAGAATCCAATAAATGGATGAAACGTGGACATCTCGTACCGTACGTTCCGTTGTTATAAATGATTGGTCTAATCTAAAAAAGTCAAATGATGCTTAATTTTCCTCGAGTGGTTGGGACATGAGCACTAACTCTTATATGGATTCTGGTTATAGCGCCATTACTTGCTTTCTGAAAAGAAAATGTGTATAAACTAAAAAAAAGGGTCTTTAATCAATATACATGAAAAAATCGCTTAAACTCACAATGACCCGCAAACTTTTTCTTTTGTGTGTCTATATTTACCGTAACTAGGGATAGGAAAGTAAATGTTGATGTAGTACTTACTCAACGAGAGGCCACCGAATAACAGCGTGACATCGTCGGCAAAACCAACAATTTTCACGCCTACTGGGAATCTTATCCTGAACACTCCATCGTACATGACGTTCCATAACACCGGGCCCAGGATGGAGCCTTGTGGCACTCCTGCGGTGACTCTAACGCATTTTTCGCCATCTTCTGTGTCATACTTCAACACACGATTCTGGAAGTAGCTTTCCAGAATCTTGTACAGCCCTTCGGGGATTCGGAGTTAGTTTAGCGAGCGGGCTATCGCCCCCCAGCACGCGCTGTTGAACGCGTTCTTCACGTCTAGAACTACCACCGCTCAGTAACGAATACCCCTTTGTTTCCGATGGATCACCTCTGCCGTCTGGAAGACGTCGCGCATGGCATCCACTGCACAGTGATCCAGAGCGGAAAAATACATGGAAATTGGGTTTTTCGCAAAATCTACTGGTTGTAGCGTTTTGATGTCTTCGAAAGAATGGTTGGTAATAAAAAAGCGCATCTTTTCATTGGATCAGTCATTAGGGTGATTCAGTTTTGAGGTGACTTCAAAAATCTAACTCTTCAGGGAAATTTTTGGGAACTTTTTTTACTGCTTCAAAGTTGTAGAAGATGCAAAACCAAGCAACTTTGTCGAAGACGTCAAATTTTTATCTCATCATCTACGCAGTCTACGAACTGAAACAACTATAAGGTTAGGGTGATTCATGAAAAAACAGTTTTTTGACCATAACATTTTTTGCTTTGTATTTAGAGAAAACTAGTCTTCAGAACACTTTTAGAACACACATTTTGATCACCTAATTATGACGTTTGGACCACTGAATCAAAAGATATAGTTATTTTAAGGTTTAAAACAAGTTTTTTTCAAACTAATATAACTTTAAAACGCGCAAGCCAATTGCAAATCTGTTGAAAGTAATTGAAAGACAAAATTTGGTTTTATATTTGCTTAAAAAAATGGTAGAGGTATCATTTTTTTAACTCGAGATATTTGAATTCGAAAATTGTAATTTTTTAAGGAAAAAAGCCATAGCTTAGTTTGATTTTTGAAGTCACCCTTAAACTGAATCACCCTAATGACTGATCCAATGAAAAGATGCGCTTTTTTATTACCAACCATTCTTTCGAAGACATCAAAACGCTACAACCAGTAGATTTTGCGGAAAACCCAATTTCCATGTATTTTTGCGATCTGGACCACTGTGCACTGTAGATCTGCCTTTGCGGAACCCGTACTGGCTGCTTGACAGGCCGTCTACACCTTCGGTGTTGAGGATGACTCTCTCAAACAGTTTACCAGTGGTGTCCAGCAAACAGATGGGCCTGTATGCTGACGGTTCTCCAGGGGGTTTTCCTGACTTCGGGAGAAGCACCAGCCTCTGCAGCTTCCACTGGGAAGATGCCTACGTACAGACAGTTCTGAAATACAGACCTGAAGTCTGGATTTTCCGCACTGGCCGCCCTCAGAGCCACAACCGGGATTCCATCCGAGCCCGGCACCTTGTCCACCACCAGCAACTTGGCAATGTCGGTCAGTTCACTGTTAGTCACTCTAGACACTTCTCCCTGTTCCGCGACTGGGATACCCCGCGGCCAGGAGTCAACGTTCCTACGTGGAAACAAGAACTATACGATTGACGTGATCTCTCCGGCACATTGAGCTTTCGTTATTTCTGGGTGTGTATCTGTCTTCTCTTCTCCACTGCCTTACACTTGCGCGGGGTGATAGACCTCACTTTGTTTATTTCAGAAAATCAGTACATTATTGCGCGCATTGAGTGATCAGATGACAGCTCTGACTGAAACACACTTATTATTTTCCTTCCAGGACAAATCACTTGACCGTCGGTTTTGTAAGCAACTAAGCAAACGACGGCGTGGCAGTTTGCATGAAGTCACTGCCAATGGCACTTGAACAGTTACGGAAAAAGAACTGTCTTCGATCCAGCGGCAACCAACCACCTGAAGCCAGTGACAGCAAGATTTACGACCTAGACACAAATATTGATTTCAGAGCAGAAGAAAACGTTAAGCAAACCTACCTACCTAACAAGTTTTAGCTAATATCCCGTACTGTCAGAATCTAAGATTAGTTCGTTCGATAGATAGTGTAATATGAAAACAGTAAACTAGAGACAAGGAAATTGTTCGTTTTGAGGTATTATTGTCTTCTTCGTATCCCTCTCTAAATACTGTCCGGAGTGTTGTTATTTTCTATACGTAGTAATTAGTGGAATAAAAAGTTATCAAACGATGGATTAAGAGTAGCCGCCTTCCAAGCTGTAGCTGGATTTGGAGTGGCGACTGTTACTGTAACATTTGGCAATTTGTAACAACCGATAATCAACGTTGGAGTAACGATAACTTAATGGCAAATATTTGAAACGTGGGAGTCTAAAACACAATAATTAGGATGTAGATCAGTAAACATTGTCAGGAAACGGTCCCAAAACTGGCGTAGACAGCAGAAGAATAACAACAATTAAGCGAATCAATTCGTGATAGTAGGTAATAAAAAAAATCTTTTATTCCTTTATTAGTTAAGTAAACTAAATCCAACCTTGTGAGATTTTTGATGATACCATAGTGTAGCGATAAATCGGTTCTCTAGTGTGTACATATTTTTAACTACAATTTTAAAGAACACAATTTGTTACTATTTGCTAAAATCAAATTAGAACAATGACAGGAGAACGATTTTGTCGCCACAGTGATAATAAGAATGATACAATTGTTAGTAGTTCCCGGTGCAATCGTTTCGAATAGTTTGTGAACAAGTTTGACTGCGTTTTTAGTGTAGTACGTACCCAGTAGCAGCGAAACGATCTGTTATGTCTTTAAGGAGAGAAGATTTTATGTTTTTGTTAGATGTAGCACTTCAGAACAGGTCAATTCGATGCCATCAGTAAGTAAAACGGGTCCCGTCCTAACTTTTTTGTAACGTGTAAACAGCACCGCTCTTATTGGGAAAGCATACAACAGCCAGTCCGCAAACATAATGCCAAAGTTTCTCAGTTTCGAATTTCACAACGTCCAGCATGATTTTTCGGATTCCGTCGAATTATTCCATCACTCTCGTGTAAATAGACGTCCCAGTTTTTAAATGATCAATTCAAAAAAATCTCAACCAATACATACATTTTAAAGTTTTCATGTTGAGTCGAACTAAATAAAATAGATAACGGAAAACGCCAAAACGAGCAGCTTTACTAACAGAACTGTAAAGATGATTCAGTCTCTTTCATAGCAAATGAAATACTCACTAAATCGAAAACATACATCAGGAGACAGATTGAATAGCTTAATAAATTCATTCACGGTTAACGAGCCATATAAGCGAATCAAAATATCTGCAATTTTGTCAAGCTCCAATTGGAACATTTTAAGACCACTCGAATACAACAGAACAGACAAACACACACACAAACACACCCGCATAGACGTAAATAGCATACATTCTGCAGATTTCATGCATTTAAAATGCACTATAGGAAAGATTTTTTGAAACAGAACAAGTATTTTGCCTTATGAGATCATAGTTGTACATTTTCGAGAAATGAATAAAAAATAAAACACTAACAGGAATACATCAGTCTTAGCGCGGAAACAGCATTAAACAACAGCTAAAGAAGCACTCTCTACATTGATACGGTTGAAGCAGCGGAAAAAAAGAAATAAATTTCACTTTCATTACTCGAAAAGAGCTTTGTCGGTTAATTCATGTGATCACATTATTCCTGGTACCTATATAATTGTTTTGATAACTCACCTGTCACGAGGGACACTGAACGGTTGGGATAATGTTCCCCTCGAGAACTATAGAAAAACAACAATCGAGAGAAAGAGCTGTAAAGGCAATCCTTATCCAATCCTCAACCTTGCGTATAATCCGTATGATGCTCTCACACCCGGACATTACGGTAACATCAAACGTGATCGATCGAATTCCCACTTGAACTTTAGTTCGAATTGCAAATGGGTACCAATCGAGAGAGCGTTTTCGTATTTTTAAACTTGACATCATTCGAAGCACTCGACTGTTCTTTGAACGGCCGCATCAAGATGCGCAAGCTAATTGATTAGGGATACATTGTACTTGAAAACCGGCTCCGTTTGTCCAGGAGATAAGTGCCATTCACAATTGGCTTCCCTTTTCCGATGCCGAACAAATTCCTAAATCTAGCTCTTAATTATCTGACGAACAGATAACAACGGCTGAGTCGCGTGTATGGAATACTCCCTGTCAATAGACATTGAGTAAATTCAAGTAGATTGTGACGTTTTTGGAGGCTTAGATTGACTGTTCTGTCTCCTGCAGACTGCTTCGCCTTGTTGATCGTTAACTGCTTCAATGTCTCTGATGAAAATCCACCGTCATTGACAACAACACATTTAACACGTAACGCTTAAACGTTAGTTTTTTTTTTTAAATTTGGAGTTTCAACCGAGTTAAGGTCATTCACCCTTAAAAGTTGTTGTGGTTGTATAAGTGAGTATATAAGTGTTGTGGAGTTGGTGAGGGGGTCTTCCAAGTTGCTAACCTAGGCAAGTACGATAATATTACCGCTTTGTCGCTTCCTGAAATCTGTCGCATTGACAGCGCCGCTTTTATGAATGGAGTGGTTGATACTGTACCACGCCCAGATGCTCAGCCGCTACCGGTCATCGAACCAGAGCAAACAGCACCAGCAGTCCTTCCAGCCAGTGGACCCAATGCCACTGCTTGCGCATCCTTCCTGACTTCTTACTCCGCTACTGATTTCGATGGCATTCCAGATCTTCGTCCAGGTAACGCTACAAATAGTATATGTCCAGCCGAAGCTCTGAATGGTATTGCACGACAATCAAGTAGATCAAATTTCCAGCACGATTCTTCTGTGCCTACTCCCCTCCCGTTACACTTGCTTGCAATGAACCGGTCTCAGATGCTAATAACAAACTAAGGGTGTACTACCAGAATGTTCGAGGAGTGCGTACGAAAATTGACGACGTTTTCTTGGCTGTTTCGTCATGTCATTATGACGTTATAGTGCTTACGGAAACATGGCTTGATGACAAAATATTTTTACCACAGCTTTTCGGAGATTCCTACACCGTTTACAGAACAGATCGCAGCAATATTAACAGTCATAAATCACGTGGCGGTGGAGTGTTGATCGCTATTTTGACTAATTTCAACGGGTACATTGATCCCACTCCGGTAAATGTTTCTCTAGAACAGCTTTGGGTTAAGTTGAAACTGTATCAATGTTCAGTTAGTATTGGTGTAATTTATCTTCCACCTGATCGCAAGAATGATTTACGTAGCATGAATAACCATATCCATATCGAAGCGATACATTCACACCTTGGGAATAACGATCATGCTATTCTTCTTGGCGATTATAATCAATCGGGACTTGTCTGGAACACACCAAGCAACGATCGCCTTTCCGTAAATGCATTGCAGTCTCACATCTCTGTTGCTTGGGCCTCGTTACTCGATGGCTTCAATCTGCATGGTCTGTATCAATTTAACTATATTACTAATCAGAACATGCGAATCTTGGATTTCGCTTTGGTGAATGAAGGAACGCTCTCTCGATGCCAGATTGAAGCAGCTGTAGAACCACTCTCTTTTCTTGATGCCGATCATCCCGCTTTTGAAGCCATCTTCGAAACCACCTTGGGGAAATATACATTTACGACTACTCAAACGTCTAAGATCCAAAGCACTCCGAACCTACTGCCAGTCTCGTTGTCCTTTTTCCAAGCAACATTTCGCACGTGCTAGTAACAATTATCTCACGTATAACCGTTATCTGTACAAACGCTACTGCAAACGAACTCAGGAAAATCTACGCAGACATCCAAGACATTTTTGGAAATTTGTTGACTCTAAACGGAAGGAGAATGGGTTACCCGTTGAGATGTTTCTGGGTGATGAAGTCGTCACCTCCGCTTTGGAAAAGTGCAATTTGTTTGCCACTCACTTTAAAAGGGCATTTAATGACACTACGTCGTCTGTACTTCAAATCACACAAACTTGTAGACAGTCCGCATCGTGCTCTCTTGCCGTGCGGATCTATTTGCTTTTTGCTTAAGGAAGTGTTACTACTACCTAAAGCTACAACAAATTTAAACAGCACTTTTCAGTGCTCAACCTGTAAAAATTTTCTACCTTGTTCAACTCCTCTTATTCCTCTTCGATCCTTGTTTGGACCCTACCCGAGGTAATCCTTCTTGGATATCGATTTGGAAAATTCCTCTTCGATCCTTCAGATTCTTATAGTAATCTGCTTGGAAGTCGATTTGGATAAAAAATTTACTGCCGCCATGGCGCCTAAACGCAAAAGAAAGGGGCAAACTCTTGACCCCCCTTCTGAAGAAATTAATTTGAGTAATCAATTTGATTTGCTCACGGATGATGAGAATGATCCATCATCCAAGAAAAATTCTAGTAAACTTTCCCGGCTTAATGCCAAGAAGGAAAAGATTCCCCCTATTGTGATAACCACTACCGATTTCCATGCTCTTCGCATGGAACTTTTGAATTTTGTGAAAGTTAAGTTTTCACTACAAATTGGACGTCGGGGTGAATGCCGTGTATTGGCTGAAACCTTGGACGGATTTAAATGTCTTCTCAAGTATCTTACTGAGAAGAAGCACAAATTTTTTACTTACGACACCAAAACTGAACGTGTGTTCAAGGTTGTCATGAAAGGACTGCCCAGTGGTGAATCCCTGGATCAGATCAAAGATGAACTGGCAAAATTACTTGGAGTTGTGCCACTCCAAGTAATCAAAATGAAAATGAAATCCCGTCCTGGCGATTCGCGCAACGGGATTTCTAATGATTTTTATTTAGTTCACTTCAAGTCTAGTGAACTAAACAACCTTAAGGCCTTAGAAAAAGCTAGCCTTATGCTCCATGTCCGAGTGAAGTGGGAGCACTTCAGGAAGGCTGGAGGAAATTTCCAAAACCTCACTCAGTGCCGTAAGTGCCAGGGATGGGGTCACGGAACAAAAAATTGCTACATGCCAGCTAAATGCATGAATTGTGGTGATTCCTCTCACGCAAAGGACGACTGTCCTGTGAAGGAAGATCCTAAGAAATTTAAATGTTCAAATTGTGGTGAAAACCACAAATCCAATTTTTGGGAATGTAAGACTCGCAAAGCGATCCTACAATCTCGTAGGAAACGCTCCACGTTTCCGACCAGGTACAAATTCCTCTGCTGTTAACAACGGTCAGCGAGGAACAAATTCTACATTCGTACCCGTAGGTACAAATATCACCCCTGCTTCAAATGTTTCATCTGTACCTACTCCCCTCACTGCTAACAATGTTCAGCGAGTCAATGGAGCTACCTATGCTGCTATTGCAGCGGGTAGAAATCAAAATACTAACCAACGTTCTAACGGAAATTTTGACAATTTTGACTTAGGAAGCATTACTGCCCCCAAAATGGAATTTTTACAGAATTCATTAATTGACATGATTTCTGATATGCTTAAATCTAACTCCATGTTTGATGCTATTCAAACTGGAGTAAAATTTGCTAATAATATTGTCATGACTTTAAAATTCAGTAATGGATTTTAAAGCATTAAACATTTTAAATTGGAATGCTCGATCTCTTAAAGATAATGAAGACGAGCTATTTAATTTTTTGAGAGTTCATAACGTGCATATTGCCGTTATAACTGAAACGTTCCTTAAACCTGACCATAAGGTTAAGAAGGACGCAAATTACTTGATTTATAGAAATGATCGTCTTGATGGACCCTGTGGTGGCGTTGCCATCATTATTCATAGACGAATCAAGCATAAAATTCTTTCTTCATTTGAAACCAAAGTTTTTGAAACTTTGGGAGTTTCTGTTGAAACAAAATTTGGACAACTTACGTTTATAGCTGCCTATTTGCCATTCCAATGCGTAGGCCAGCAAAAGAATTTTCTCAAGGGTGACCTCCAGAAACTTACCCGTCATAGGTCTAAATTCTTCATTATTGGTGATTTTAATGCAAAACACCGCTCATGGAATAATGCTCAAAGCAATTCCAATGGTAACATTCTGTTTGATGATTGTTCTGCAGGTTATTACACTATTCAATATCCAAACAGCCCAACATGCTTTTCTTCTGCAAGAAATCCCTCAACTATTGATTTGGTCTTAACTGATTCATGTCATCTTTGTAGCCAATTGGTTACCCATGCTGACTTCGATTCTGATCACCTTCCAGTAACTTTTGAAATATCCCAAGAAATAATTTCTAATCCCAACAGCTTTACTTTCAATTACCATAGGGCTGATTGGGAGCAATATCGAACATTTATGGAATATAACTTCGATCCAAACATTCCTTTGCAAACCAAAGATGAAATTAATTATGCTCTTGAATCTCTGACTACTTCTATAGTTGAAGCAAGAGCTGCCTCAGTACCAAAATGCGAGGTTAAATTCGATTCAATTATAATAGACGATGATCTTCAGCTCTTGATCCGTCTTAAAAATGTCCGTAGGAGACAATTTCAAAGAACACGCGATCCTGCCATGAAAGTTATCTGGCGGGATTTGCAAAAACAAATTAAAAAGCGATTCTCTGCCCTGAGGAACAAAACTTTTGAAAATAATGTTTCTAAATTAGACCCGAGTTCCAAACCCTTTTGGAAACTCACAAAAATTTTGAAAAAACCTCAAAAGCCAATTCCAGCTCT